GGACTTCGGGGCAAGTCCTGGTTCCAGACACACTGGAAAAGGGATTTGCAGGTGATGCTTCTTCAAGTATTTGATACAATTGCTTCGTTGGAAAATTCTGATTTTCTTTCATTATCCTTTGTCCTAACTAGACCCTTAGCCTTGCTAACCGTTTGTTTAAATTCATCACTTCCTAGACAGAAGGACCAGCAGCCCCTGAGGCTTAAAGAAGCTTGTGGTGGAGGCTCGATATACCTGTATTTTTATTTCTATAACATCAACTGAAACAGAAAATTCCTGTCCTCTATTCTCTCTTCTTGAAAAAAACATATATGTGCATCCACCCCCTGGCCATAAATACACACACACACACACACACACACGAGTAAAAGAAAGAGAACTGCTCAGATTTTTAGCCTAATTCAATAGTAACAGTTCTGCTCAATAAATTGTATTAAATAGAAAGAACATGGTTTCTTCTCTTCTTGAAGGAAGGAGATTTAAGAAGCTGGGCAGACCTCTAGAGTGTCAAAGCCACCCCATTTCATCCTGTACATTTAGGATTCAGACCGTGTGTCCATGCAGCTCATCAAATTCTAGGCCCAAGGGATGAAACGACTGATTATCCCGTACAAGTTATGCCCCAAATCAGAGCCCCTAGTAGAACATTTCTGTCTCATGTCCACTTTTAGAGACATTTCAGGGTAATGCCATAATGAAATAATAAGCCTTTAAAAATCAGGTTGGCATTTAAGAAGTCTTATAACCTATCCTTTGCAGTAATATATCTTTTCTCCTCCAGACAAATCAGACAAATTTGCAAAAGTAATTATATTCCACTAATATGAAATTCCATTTGTTCTTGATTCACTCTTTTAAGATTTCTGGATTTAAGAAGGAAGAAGCTTAGGTCAGGGAGAGCACACCAGTTCCAGTTCAATTGCCAGCTAGATGGATGGGAAGACGCTATCTGAGGGCCTGAGAGGGGCCAGAGGCAAGTCTGGAGTTGAAGGGTAAGAGTGGTGTCCTGGGCAGTTACAGTCTGCCTAGGGCTGCAGAGGAAGGCAGGGTGGTCCTCTGTCTTGTACTTACCAACCTGAGCAGAAGAGCTAAGAGTGAGAATGTGCCTGTGAATATGCATGTGAGTGTGTGTGAGCCTGTGTGAGCCTGTGTATGTGTGAGTGTGTGTGTGTGTGTGTGTGTGTGTGTGTGTGTGAGAGTGTGAGAGAGAGAGAGAGAGAGAGAGAGAGAGAGAGAGAGAGAGGGAATGTGTATGTGTGCATATTGTGTTTCTGAGTATGTGAGTATGTGTGTGTGTATTGTGTCTGAGTGTATGTGTATGTATGTGTTGTGTGGTGATGATGCCTAGTTCTCCCAAGCTTTTCTTGAACCTTTGTAATAGAATTCACTTCGTGAGGTTCAACTCTCTCCATTTTATAAGGTAAAGAACTTGGAAATAAATCATGTTAGGTTTGGAAGCAACATTAACTTCTGTCCCCATTCCTTGCAAGAAAAAGAAAGAGAGTTCCTGATTTTCTTACTGTGTGTGCTGAGAAGAGAAAACATGCCTTCCTTGTGAAGCCTCTTTCTATGTAGGACAGTGCTGGGGACACAAATGTTTTTGTGTAGAAAGGAGGTGAGGATGGCCAATGTCAAACTTAGGAAATGAAGCTGGTTGGTTGAATTCCATGCTCTACCTATGGAGTCTATATGCTGTTTTTTTTTGTGTGTGCAAAGTTGATCTCCATAAGAGACCTCAGCTTCTGTTCCTACTGCTCAGATAGGCCATCATGGTTGTTTCATATGTAAATTTTAAAAGCATTAATGTCCAGGGTAAACTTGGAAAAATCCTGTCTGATATTTCACCCCAAATCACTTCCAAACAAATATACTTTTATCTTTTAAAAATTCATTTTGGTGAAACTTGTTGCGGAATTTTTCATTGCTCAATCTATTTACAGTGGTAGTTTTTATAGAGGCCCCTATTTTCAAAGAAAGACATGCTGCATATTGATCTAATGGGCTCAACAATGACTAAGGAGCAAATTACATAAAGATTATCACATGGACTTAGTGTGTGTTTTAGTCTCATGATTCATAAGGCAACTTTTTTGTGTGTTGCATTTATGGGCAGAGGTGCTTAAGAAAACATTTGGAGAACAAGAATTGTGAAAGAATGCCAGTCATTGAAAACTTCTGCCAAGACATGATGCTTTTATAGCTAGAGACAATGCTGTAAGTGATATTGAAGTTTGAAAGTGTGTTATGAAATGCCAGCGCTTTCCACAACTCAGCTGCCTCAGCACAGCCCTTATCCCATTGGAAGAGTTAAGCCCAGGCTTAAACAGAAACCACTGCCTCAGAAATATCTCTACTTCTCACATGTGCAGCAATTCCAGTTTGGTGAGGGGAGATGAATTTGTAGTGGCTATCTGTGGTTGGGTGACCAGGATGGGAAAAAAAACTTGCTTTGCAATGGGAAGTGACTGCATAAAGTTGCCCATAACTTCTTCAGGAGAAGTGTGAGTGTGTGTTTTTGTTTTATAAGTAATGGCTGATGCTATTTTAAAAAATTGTGGTAAAATACACATAACTTAAAATGCACAATCTTAACCACTAAAAAATTTATTTTTAGAGAGAGGAAGGAACAAGATGGATAGAACTATTGATGTGAGAGCGTAACATTGACTGGCTGTCTCCTGCGGATCCAGTGCCCTAACCATAAATCAAACTGGCAACCTTTTGGTGCACAGGACGATGCCCAACCAACTGAACCATATCAGCCAACGCCATCACAACTGTTTCTAAGTGTACAGTTCAGTAGTGTTAAATATATTCACATTGTTGTGCTACCTCACCACCATCTATATGTAGAACTTTCTATCTTGCAGAATTGAAACTCTGTGCCCATTGAACAAATCTCTCCACCCTTCCCTCCCTCCAGCCTGTGGCAGCCACAATTCTACTCTTCAACTCTATGAATCTACTACTCTAGGGACCTCATATAAATGGAATCCTGCAGTATTTGCCCTTTTGTGACTGGCCTATTTCACTGAGCATAATGTCCTCAAAGTTCATCATGCTGAAGCACGTGTCAGAATTCCCTTTTTGAGGCTGAGTCATATTTAATTGTATGTATATACTACATTTTGCTTATCCATTCATTTGTTGATGACACTGGGTTGTCTGGGGGGCATTTTTATTCCTATTTTTTCTCAAGTTGAATGCAGCTCTTGGGAGCAGGTGTGTCGGGGTGTAGTAGCGGTGTGGAATATATTCCTGGCTCCTTATGGCTGAGTGAGCTGTGGTTGGACAGTACTGCCTATAGGACTAACACTCATGGTTTGTGTTCAGCCCTTCAGCTTTGAGCTGTCTCATAACATGACAGCTGGCATAGCAGCCCTCTGCTTGTGGTGCTCATTCAGCGAAGGTCAGTGTGAAGGCAAAATGTTTGTCTCCCTCAGATTCGTACATTGAAGCCCTAACTCCAATGTGACTGTGTCTGGAGATAGACATAGGAGGAAATGATAAAGATGAAATGAGGTTGTGAGGGTGGGGCCCTGATCCAATGAGACTGGCTCACAAGAAGAGAAGGAGAGACCCTGTGAGCACAGCAGGAAGGCAGCAGCCTGCGGGTGACGGAGGGCGCTCTCACCAGAAACCAATCTGCTGGCACCGTCACCTGGGATGTCCAGCCTCCAGAACCGGGAGAAGTCCAAGTCCATTGTTTAGGCCACCCTGTCTGGTCTTTTGTTATGACAGCTGAGCAGACTAAGATAGTGAGTTATGAGGGAAGGAGACTCCTTCCCAGTGAGGAGTCTGGGCTGTGAGTTCTGCAGCCATGCTCTGTGGCATCTGGACAAGGAGGCTCAGTGCTGCAGCCCCTGGGCACACACACCCCTGCTTGGCATGCCTCCATCACTGCTGAGAGTGTCCTTGTAGCAACGCCACACTCACAGAGGCCTCTGTGGAGATAATATGACTTCATTTGGAATGTCTCTGATGTGGAAATGTCTTCTTACTTTTCCTCCTATAGAGAAAATGAAATGTTGTTTTAAGTCTTAATAGTAGGCTAATGAATGGGAATTGGGACTCAGTTAATTCATTAATGACTATAAGAGAAAATTCTTATTTGCTCTTGGAATACATTGCAGATTTGCATGGTACTAACCTTCCTTCCTAATTATTTCCCCCCATAAACCAATAGTGAAGTGAAAACTTGCATTTTGTGAGTTAACTGGTGGATGGGGAGAGACAGTCAGCTATACATTTAGGTATGAGAAAAGGCAGTGGGACTTACATAGAATTAGTAACAGCTAGAAGAGAAAACCGTTGGGTCTATTTCACATCATCTCCCCAGCAGCAGGCATCCCACAGTTGGAGAGGGGCTGCCAAGGATTACCCTCTAGAGCTGTGGTGCTCAGGAGGGCAGCGGCAGGTGTTCAGAGGAAAGTGGGCTCCGAGACAGGGCCTGGAAATGCTGGGCCTCACAGAGTGAATAGATTTCTTTCCTGAAGCAGGACTTTGTATGGCTTTCATTCATTCGTTTACTCTTTCTTTCATAGTTTTTAGTGAATGCTTACCAAGTCTCGGGCTTTGTATTAGGCCCTGTGAAACAGTGCAAAGCAAGACCAGAGGAGATTACAGTCTGGTGGAGTTCTCAAAATGCTAATTTCAAAGAGAGAAGACTAGAACTTGGAGTACTTGCATGACACGCCCAAGGCTACCTGTGTGGTAGGAAGGAGAGTTAGGGTTGAAATCTAAGTTTGTTTGGGTCTGGCTCCATAGTTTCCCACCTTCCATTACTGATTCTCTCCTGAAGAGTCTTAAGTCTCGGGTTAAAGAAATGGGAATTTGAGTCCTGACCTTTCTGCTGGTTCACCTGGCAATCTTGACTGAGTCTCAAATTCTCTGAGTCTGAGTCTTTTAAGCAGCTCACCTCCATGCTGACATGTGCTGTAAGTGTTGGGTTAAGCGGAGGATGTCCTTCTTTGCAGAGCCCGCAGTGTATACAAGGCTGTCCGCAGTCCCAGCATCAGATGGTGTTGGCTGGAATGGAGACAAGGTTGAACAGTATCGGACTCAATTGGATTCAACATGTGGACCTTATGTTGGTCTCCTCGAGAGCACATGAGGTAGCTACCGAGCAGGTCAGTGTTTCTTTAAGGAATGGAGGAGCTGCCCTGACAGCTGCCTCAGAGGGACTTCAGTCCCCATGACTGTTTGTTAAAGGAACTTTTTAAAGAGCAGTAACACCTGGAGACTCATTTATCACTGTCTCTGTCTCCTGGAGATCCCACCTACACCCTGAAGAATGATGGCAAAAATAACATTTATGCAGTAAACTGCTGAAGAAATGTAAAAGGAGTCCCTCTGTGTTAGAGGCAGACATTACTGACCTCTTTGTAATGATTTTAAATAGCATTCTGATCAGGAAGATTTGTGGCTTTGCAAACATAGACGGTTCTTATATCATTGCTAAGGGGGAGAAGCATTTTTTCTCTGGAATCCAAACTGACAAGGGGCACAGTAATTGGTCCAAGGCAAGCTTCATGCATTTTTATCTTAGCTTCATTGGAATGCTTTACTCTGTTACTGTGCGACTTTGCAGCGTAAATTCATAAAACTCACCCAGACACACCCAAGAATGAATACCTCCTGTTAGCAGCAGTGGAGACTGGGCAGGAGGTGAGAACAGATCCACGGGGAGCCCGGTGCTGACTCAGTGACAGGCAGCAGCCGGGGCTCCTTTCTGGGAAGCAGGTAAGTACCTTCCTTGGAGGAGAGACACACACAGCTGCCCAGTCTCTACTCCGTGCCCGTTCTGTCCTCCCAAGAGCCCACAAAGGAAAGGGCAGGCAGCTCACTGAAGCTCACCTGGCTGAGCTCTGGGGAAGGCAGAGCCCGGGCAGCTCAGTGGTTCCAGGGCTGTCACAGCTCAGTCCTTCCTTTAACTTAGCTAAGGCTCTTCAGACTTGAAGTGGCAGAGGTGACAGTCAGGGCTGGGGTAGGCCGTCAATATTTGCTGGGGTGGCAGGGCAGTCATAGCAAGTGCACAAGTCTAGGTCTGCAGGTACAATCCACACTACAGCCAACCCATTGTTTCTTTGACAGGGCCACCGGACTGGCAGGTCCAGGAAATGCTGCCACTGTGCGGTGTTCACAAGGCATTTGGCACAGTCTGTGCGATGTTGCCCTTGTATACAAGCGAAGGCATGTGGTGGTCAGTGTGTTGGCAATTCCTTAGAGGCTCAGTGACTGCATCTGACAAAGGCTGATCTCTGTGATGATGGCAGCGACAGGGACACACTTCAGTGCTAAACCAAACACCCAGCTCTGTCATGCTCAGGACCAACACCTTTGGAAGAGTATTCTGGGTCAGATCAGAAAGGGCCTCACAGCACAGGTTAGACAGAAAGGCTGAATAGCATAAAGTGGCATATTAAAGGATTAAATATAAAGTCTCTTTACTTGGCTTCAAAGAATTAATGTCACTAGCCATCCGAGGGTGTAAGTGGCTTAGCAGCAGGATAAAGGATGAAAGAACCCAGGCTTCTGGTAGGAGGCAGAAGGCAGAAGACAGACGTCCCCTGTTTGCTTAGTCCCCCTTTGGCTGCATATGGCAGGATGCTTCCTGCTGTAATGCTGAGCTACCCCTCTTCTCCAGGCTGTGCAACTACATTGGGAGTATTGACATTCAGTTTTTGGGGTGATGCATTTCAGAAGATAAGAACACAATACACACAAATCATGCTTTTTTTAAAAAAAAAAACAACCTTTCTTGTTGAGAATATTATAGATGTCCCCCTGGAGATCAGCTTTTAAAAGGGCTGACACCATGCCTCAGGGTGAATGGCTGAGACTGAAGAGCACACAGTTCCCTTTGACTGCGAAGGCATGGCCTAGAGAAGCAAGGCTCCCTGTGTGAGCCTCTGAAGGCAGAAGGAGGACGGGGGTGGAAATTCAGACATTTTTACATTCAGAGATGTCCAAAGACAGGACGGGCTGCCCTGGAAAGAGGCGAGGCCAACCTTACCCCCCAGAGCTCAGGCACAAACTAGTCCCACATCTGGTGCAGATGTGGTAACAGGCTGGTTGGACCACACAGTTCCTCCCACTGTGGGATTCTGCAAGTCCATGAAGACCAGCCAAGAAACCAAGGCTCTGAGCCTAGTTTTACCACTGATGCCCTAGTGATGGCAGTGAGCTGTTTCAGTCCACTGGACCTCATGATTCTCCTCTGCTAAAATGGGAAGTTGAACAGGATTACCTCTTAGCTTTTGGTGATTTGGTTCTTCTATTACCATATCACTATGGATCTCTGCCACGGAATGAAAGTCTGTGATTTCCTCCTTCTTCCATGGACACCAAGAAAAGGTTTAGGAAATTATATCTTGGCTGCCATTGTAGGAAGTGTACCCATTGTCTTGCTATTTTCTCAGAACCTTGGCTCCTTTCTATTTGTCTTTCTCCTGTCAAATAAAAAGTGAGAGGAGAACAATTGCAGCAAACCCGAAGAACAACTAAATTAAGAATAGTTTTTTATGTGGTTGAGAGGCCATGGTTTCAGAAAGCTTCTGGTGAGGCTTATGTCAACAGGGAAAATAACTGAAAATGATTCTAAAGCTGTTTTAAGAAGTTACTTTAGTTTGGGTGTTTAGTCTTTTTCTTGCAGTTTTTCTTCCCTAAGGCATCAATGACCATCAATTATGTGAAGGACTCTAATTTCTGTTCTATTTTGTGGATTATTTCAATGTTCACATCTGAATTCAGTATATTTCTTATGCTGGCTGCTATTACCCCCTGACAGGGAAGCTGGTGGCAACTAAACTTGGCCCATCAGTCCCATGGGGCCATTTTTTTCTGGTGGCTCTATATTAGGACAGAAATGTAAGTTTGGAAAAAGCTTCAGTCTAAACATTCAAGTAACTTAAAACTCAACGAGGGACAAAAAAATAGCACAATTTAGATTAAGTAAGAGCCCATTGAGATGGGTGATGGGAGGTGGTCTGGATGTGCATACTCATGTGTGTGCGCATCTACATGTTTGTGGGGAGTAGTGGCACCATGCCTGAAGTACTGCTCGCGTTGGTTGTGTCCATCTGAAGAAAATGGGCTAAGGCCCACTCTTTAGTGGGAGTGGGTTCAGCTGGTGAGGGTGTGGTTTGAACCTGCATATCCCCTGTCACATATTTACTACAAAACTGTGCTTCTTCCTAAGAAGCCCAGCTACGTGAGAGGTAGGAGTGGCATAAGCAAGCATGAAAAGTCATTTTATATACTACTAGGGTCCCAGTGCATGAATTCATGCACCTTGAAAGGAACTGTGGGCTGCAAGGCTATGGTGGGCACAGGGGCAGGTCTCGGCTCATCCTCTGTGCCCCCACCTGGCCCCTCCCGCTGTGGCCCCAGTCTCCTGTCTGCGCCGGCAGCAGGTGTGAGCACCCAGTAGGACCGCAGTGCATGGGAGCAAAGAATTTTCAGTAACCACCAGAGGCTCGCCCGATGACAGCGACTGGTGCCCCACCTTGGTCTGGCACCCCTGCTCACCTGCTCCACCATCCTGCCACGGCCAAAGCCCGCCATATTCTATGCTCTGCCACCTACTGCCAACGCCTGCCATGTTCTGCACATGCCCCTTGGTGTTTCATCGCACATCATAGCGATCGGTTGTTTGGTTGTTCAATTGTTCCCCTGTTCGGTCTATTTGCATATTAGGGTTATATATATATATATATATATATATATATATATATATATATATATATATACAGATTCTCTAGGCAACCAGAACAGCTCAGAACCAACTTGTGCAGGAGGAGCAGGCCTGCCACTTTTGATCAAATGCAAAGCAAAAGCAAAATCTGACAAAACTGGTAACAGAACTGAAAATTTTCTGAATTTGTAGAAGTCAACATATTTTTTTGTTTTGGATGCTGACCCCAGTAACAAATTCAGCCCTATAGATTTACATTCTTTGCCTGCTAACTGCCCTCTCTCTTGGCCCTGAATGCTCTGTGAGTGTTGGTTTTCAAAGATTGTTGTTCAACGGAAGAGCCCAGGTGAGATGATAGCAGCTTTCAGCAGCTCTCTGTGTGCTGCCCAAGTCGAGAAAGTAGGCAGCTCAACTCTGCACGGGACACCACAGCTAAGGGGTTCGCATGTGGCATCTCAACTGTCAGTGCTTTTTGTATTAGACATGGAAAATCGTCTTCTCCCCAAGATGTCTGGGATTGGCCATTCTTGTTAGGACCCTCATGTGAGTGTCGTGGGAAGATGGACTGCACCTGACCCTGACGAAGAGAGGCAGCACTGGCTCCCTATACGGCCTCCAGCAGCCCCTGTGGGTGGATGCTGGGGGGAAGAGGGGACTCTTTGTTTTGTCCAGATCACCAGCTACTGGGTTCAGGCTCAGCTTGGTCAGAATCATTTTGGACATTTATGAAGAGGATGTTGCTCACCAGCCCTGAATCTCCATAAAGAATGAGAAACATAATGATAGACTATCAGAAAGAGCACCCATGAACACACTTTAAACCTAGTTATCACACTATCATCAGCATCAACATGTACAAATAAATATCTTTACAGTTGATCGGAGCCAGTTGGGCTCTCTCACGAATGTTTACTTACTAGTAGATACAGAAATAGCATCGTGCATGGCGGGGTCTGTGTGGGAGCAGTGGTATCCAGCCCAGTTGGAAAGTGTGCGTGCTCAGCACCTCTTGTGTGGGTGCAGGGGAGATGGTTTGGATTCATGCCACCTGTGTGCCATACTATTCCCAGGTGATAAAGGGACAGTCAGATTTCCTTACCAGCTCCATGAAATCCTCGCAATGTCCTTTGTCTTGTTATAGTTCATTATTGTGGCTTATTTCATGTGTAGAGTGGTGGTAGGGCTGTGTAAATGAGCCCATCGATGCTGCATCCGCACACTATGACCATGTTGCCTTCCTGAGGTGCATCTTCACTAATAAAACTCACCGTGCTGGATTGTTGTGAAGATTCACTGAGATAATGCCCATGAATATGCTCTGTAAATTGCATCAGCTAGTGTTGTTATCCTTAGAAAAACTGACCTCAGGATGAAACAGCTCCAATAAAGATCACTTCTTTGCCACGCTGTAGCCCTGGTCCCAATGTTACAGGACGATTATCATCTGTCAGCAATCTCTCCAGAGGCAAAACTGTGCTGTCCTTCAGAATGCAATCTCTGAGACTTTGTTACTGAAAAGGGAAGGGAAATGTGGCTTAGAAAAGATTCTGAGAGAAGATCTGTGCATATTTCAGAAGTTGAAAGAGGGGAGGAGAGCTGTAAAAGTGGGAGGAAGCTCTCACTCCAGGCAGTTCCTTGGGTAGAAAGATCACCAGCCTGGAGTAGGAAATTTATCAGGCTCCCAAAATCTTGGCTCACTCATTGAAAACATGTTTATTGAGCACCTATTATGTATCAAACCCCTTTTTAGTCTTGTAATGAAAAGCCTTCTTAAAAACAATGTCACAGTCTTCACTCTGACTTTGAGTTGGCAGGCCATCCACTGAACAGAAGTTTAGTTTCCTGTCTGAGCCAGGCCTGGTGAGGGGGTCTCTGGGGAAAAGAGTCCCTTCCAGTTTTAGGAGAGCACCAGATAAATTAGTTGACACATGAGCAGTGGTAACACCGACAGCAGCTCTCCTGGCTCCTTCAAAATATCCTCCTGCCAGTGAACCTCACTGAGACAATTACTTGGTAAGTGCAATCATATGGTAGATCCGTCATAACAAAGTACCACAGGTTTTAACAACAGGAACTCATTTCCTCACAGCTCTGGAGGCTGGAAGTCTGAGATCAAGGTGTCTGCAGAGGTTGGTTTTGTCTGAAGCCTCTCTCCTTGGCTTGTAGATCATTGGGTCTTCACGCGGTCTGTTCTCTGTGCATGGTTGCGTCCCAGACTCTCTTTCTATAAAGAACTCAGTTAGATTGGATTAGGGCTTTCATCCTAAAGATATCATTTTAACTTAATCACCTCTTTAAAACACCTATCTTTTAAAAAGGCCACAATTTGAGGTACTAGAGATTAAGACTTCAACATATGAATTTTCAGGGGGTGCAGTGTTACATTTTACCATGATAGGTAAAAATTCCAGCTATAAAACTGTCGTTTTGTCTATGTCAGACTGCTTATTGCACTGGACTTCAAGGCCCCTCCCCATTTCCTCAATTCCTCAGCTTTTCTGTGTCAATTTGGCTGCTGGTTACGGCATCTGGTAGGGGCAAAACAGAGAGAAACACACATGTGGGAGAAAGTAGGGCTAAACCTGACATAGAAGTCCAGGTATGGTGGAGGAACGGCACACAGTTTAGGTCTTGATGAGAGGAGAGCAGAGCTATTCCATAGGCTAGCAGAAATCCTTCAAGTAAGGATATGTATACAGACGGTTTGCAGTTCCCATAACAGGCAATAACTTTGTGGATGAATGAGGGCACCTGTCACCCCTCGTCTCAGATAGTAGTTCTTTCTGTGCATGCTATTTTTCTACTAACCTAATCCAATTTTTGGAAGGGCCTTTGAGACATGAAGATGAACAAGATGGTTTTTAGTAAGAAGGGAACTCAAGGGGGAAGAAAAAGAGCTGCCAGGCTCCCGAACCGAGAGGGAGTTTCCAATGTCGCAGCAGTTGATGGGCTCGGTGGTGTGCCAAAACCAGGAAATGAAATGTTTGCTGTGATTAAAAATGTGATTGGTAGAACAGGAGAATAGCATATATGTTTGTACCTCAGAATACTCTCAAACATTCAAGGTTTAAATAAAAGATAACATAAAGTAAACTGACATTGATGAAAATGCAAGTGACAATAAGATTCATATTTCTGTGAGTGGCCTTAGAGATCATCTAGTTGAGCTACTTTACAGATGAGGACAGTTCAAGGCCAATGCTGCACATTGACTTGTGGGAAAAATGGAAATAAAACCGGTCTCTTCACTCCTAACCCAGTGCTATTAGCAGATTGGCGATATTTTATCATTTGGAGGAATTTTACTCTTTGTAGCATACTGTCTCTATGAAGTTAGGTTTCATATTTTTTTTTTGTGTGTGTGTGTTTAAACTGTGTATTTCTCACTTTAAAAAATCTCAATTACTCATTCAGCCACTAAGTTAATTTTAGTAAAGTAATGCTTTAGTATATTCCAAATATATAATTTGACAATGCTTCATTTTTCCCTATCATTTTTAATTCTTTTATTCTTTATTCACAGATGCAAAAAATACAGAGGATTTTTACTCTGCACTGTTGGTAAGGATTCTAGAGAATGTGGATGAAAAAGTCTAGGATTAAAAGCCCTGGCCAATTTTTCTCAGTGAATAGAGCGTCAGCCCTCAGACCAAAGGGTCTGGGCTCAATTCCTGGTCAAGGGCAAGTACCTGATTTGCAGGCCTGATTCTGGCCTGGGTCAGGGTGTGTACAGGAGGGAACCGATCGATGTTTTTCTCTTTCTCTCTCCCCCCTCCCTCCCTTCCACTTTCTCTAAAAATCAATGGAAAAGATATCCTTTGGTGAGGTTTAATCAAAAAAATTGTTTTTCTTTTTTATTTTCTTTCCTATTGATGTCCAAAGTAACCTAGCCCTACTAATATTTTTATTTAAAGTTATTATACTCAACTTTCCCTTAGCACATTTTTTCTAAAATAAGAAAGGAAACAGAAAAAAAGTACCTTCAGCTTTCTGCTCTAACACAACTTTGCAGTTCTGTTAAAGACAAAAATAAAAAAACAACAACAAAAAACCCTCCACCCCAAACCCCCAAACCCTTTGCAATATTAATCATTCTCTTGACAACCAGTGAAAAGAAAATCTACACATCCCAAAATAAAATGAAGTGAACAGACTCCTTAAGAAGCCAGAATTTCCAGTTTATGCACAGGATTTTCATAGGCATTAGACTCTACCTCTGTACACTAAATAAATACCAAGTAGTAAAGAATAGAAACAGTTCCTTTTTCTTTGTTGAGTGACCAAGCAACACAGAAGAAAGCATTTCTTGTTTAGAAAGAAAATAAAAGAGTCGATACCCCAAAATTAAGGCTTCTTGATTCTTACATTAATTTGGGGTGCTAGACTTCTCCTAGCCTCTCTTTGCCAGGTTACCCTATTGTCACGGCCAGAGGACTAGGGGTCCACATTGAAACCATTCAGCTGGTGGCAAGATTCCCAGGGTCACGCCCAGAGAAACAGAACTGGAGGTTCAACGAGTTACTGAGGCTGGAAACCCCAGCAACGTCATAACATAATGCAGTGTGTAATTAAGCAATTGCTATGATCTCAAGTAAAGGGTGTTTTATTATTGTTTTGACCTTACTCACCCGTGTGGACTGACACTGACTGTAGCTGTTATGAAGCTGAGATCTATATAAACAACTACTTCTTCCCCTCAGCTCACCTTTCTTTGCAAAGAGCCAGGGGCTCAGCAGACGTTCTTTCGGTCTGTTTGGGTCAGGAGATGGAGCACTGGTTTTCCCAACAATGTTATGATGTGGTGCCCAGCACTAGTTGCTTTGAGAGACTCAGGTATGTGGTGAGGAAGGCTCCTCCTGGACTGAGAGGAAAGATGATGGAAGAATTCCAGAGAACCTTGAGTCTGGAGTCAGAGGGCATAGGCTCTGTTCTTCCTGCTGTGACTCTCTGCTTCTGCCACTGTGTGCCATTTTATATAAACTCCCAACATTAGGAGCCCAGGTTGTGTCAGTGCTGGCTGTCACTTGCAGCTCCATAGTCTATCATTCTGTCCCATCTTGAGAGGCATGAAGCTCAGAGTGCAAACTCAGATCGCATCTCTGCCGCTTGGCTGCTGTATGACCTGTTCGAGGTGCTTAGCCTCTCTGAGTCTCAGTTTCCTAACATGTGAAAAGGAGTTGAGCTGGTACTTAGCTCACAGTGTTGCTATGGAGCTTTGTGTGTAAAGCATTAAGCCTGGAGCTCGAGAAAAGCTGAATCCCATTGAATAACGACCATTGCTGGGAGCAGAGCCACATCCTGTGGACGTTTGGCTCCAATTCCAGTCTAATGGCTGGTTCATCTTCTGTGTACAACAGAGTTCACCAAACCAATTTGAAAGATGGCACTCCTGTTGCTGCCTCATAGATAGATCTGTGCAGCCTGGAGGGCACTGAGCACATGGCAAAATTCATTTCAGTTCAGGGGGAACCCAGCACCTATGGTTTCATTTTTCTCCTTTTGAGTGCCTCTGAGCAGTGACAGACAGCTCTTGGGAATTCTGGTGAGGATCTGCTTAGTTCTACAGGTGCTTTTCAGCGCTGTCACCACCTGCTAAGTTCCTGGTGCTCAAGAGGCAATAGCGCTGGATGTTCAGGGCAGGGACTCTGGGGTCTTTGGCACCCTGTCTCCCTTGTGACTGCATCCAGAGTGACAAGGTTCCGTGTTATGTGTTAGGAAATGAGAGTAGCTAATGTTATGGAGTACAGAGAAAGACCCAGATTCCCTGGAGCCTGAAGCTCATACAATTAGGGAGGGCTCTTTTAGGGTACTCTGTGAAGCCATCATGCTGAACAGTGGTGGTCGTTTCCAGATGTGGGACTGGAGGCTGCATGAGGTTGCACAGTAATGCTGGGTTTGAGGCTGGAACCCCTGTGAGCCTAAGGCCCAAGGCTGGGCGCTATGCCACTAAGCTGCCTGTCCTCATTAACAACAGATCTGCTGTGCATGCTCGTGTGCTTGTGTGTGCATGTGTGCCTGTGTGCGTGCGTGTGTGTGTGTGTTTGAGAGAGAGAAAGAGAAATTCCATGTGCTTGTGCGTGCATGCATGTCACCACACTCTGCCTGATACACCATGTTTGATTTTCTGGTCACGTTATAAAGCTTACCTTGTACTACATTCAAGCCACTTGGCCCATCTTCAGTCCCTGCCAGTCTGCTCAGGCATTCCTTCTCCTTTCTCCCAGAAAATGAAGGGACCGAGGATCTAAGTTCTGTGCCTACACCACCACTTTCCAATTACATGAACTCAGGTGCTTCCATAAAATAGAGACTGTATTAAGCCCTGTTTATCTCAGAGCAGTTTTAAGAGTAAAGAGGAAACATCTGAAAGTATTTAGAAAACAGTAAAGTGCTTCGTAATGTAAGTAAGCTATTGTCATTAGGCCTAAACCCTTCTTCCCTTCTGACTGCGCAGTCAGTACTGAGGTTTTTTGTCTTACGGAACTCAGACCCTATCACAGGTTAACATGTCAATGTTACCTAATTGTTTTGTATGAGTTTGTTTTATTTCTATTACAAGATCATATATTCTCTGCAAAGGAAATCAGGCTTTTTGCTTTCTCATGGTCCTTTACTGAATAGGACACATAGAAGTCTTTTTTAAAATTTGTTATAAAATTTTGTTATTTGTTAACTTTTTCACATTTGTGATAGATCTTAAAGTTTTGTTGGTTGACTCAGATATTCATGATGTTGTCTCAATATTTGGTTTACAATTGTTTTCTAATATGTTTGATCTTTGAATTGTAAATTCTGTGGGCTCTTATGTAAACTGAAACTGAAAATTTCTCTTTTCCAATTATTTATGCTAGTATTAAAACTCTAATTGACTTGTACTCTAGACTTTGATAAATACTCATACAAGTTTTAGTGGCTATTTCATACATCTCATTGGATTTTATAAGTAAACTATGTGTCATCTGTAAACAGAGATAGTTTTCCTTATTCCTGTTCAATCTTTATTTAATTGTATTTAATTTTATTTTTTATGTTTAATTGAATTTATTGGGGGTGACATTGGTCAATAAAATTATACAGGTTTTAGATATACAATTCTATAGTGAATCATCTGTATATTGTATTTTTTTCTTACCTTAATAGAAATGGTTAAGACTTTGAGTACAATTTTGAATAGAATGGTGGCAATATATAGCTTTGCTTTGCTCTCCATTTTAGGGGGAAAGCAAAACATTCAGTACTTCACTTTAGGCTTTGTTTATAGGTGATCAGTTTTAGGAAGTTCCCTTTATAGCCCATTTGCTAAGAGTTTGAAAATAATTAACGGGTGTTAAATTTGCCAAATGCTTTTTGTGCATACATTTTAATGATATATTTTAGTGGTTTTAATTTCATTTGAGTTTCTGGCCTTTAAGTTTTTCTAAATGTTTTATCGTCATCAGATTCTGAGGATTCAAGTCTGAATTGAAAAGGGGCTGAAGTTTCAGGAAGTTTCATCGTATTCAAGTCCAAATTAAATTGAGGTAGATTGCAGAAAGTTCTTCAAAGGCAATTATCTGGTATGGGCCTTTTTCTGATTGCAAAGAACAAGGCCACATTCCTTCAAGTCTATTTGTCTTTCTCAAAGGCCCAGAGGCAACCCTTCTACTTTCTAAATATTATGATGATGAAACTTTTCATTATGTGATGAACTGAAGCTCAGAATAAAGCATGCCAACTTGTTTGAAAACAGTTTTAATAACTCAAATTGCAGACCACCTCTTCAAAATAAAATTAGACATGACACACCTACATACTCTAGTTTTTGTCTCCTTATTTTCTTTTACTTATCTTCTGCATTTTTAGGTATTATCATTACTGTTCGTATTTAAATCACTGTACTTCATGGCAGCATTACTCAGTTACTGGATTTCAGAGTTTAACCCAGAATAGTTTTACCTTGTGACTCATTTCATATAATAAACACATTATTTTGCTCACCAAGGGTGTTTCATCTCATGATGATGGCAAAGAATGTGGGGATTAACTAAATTATGGATGTAGAATTTAATAGGTAATGACAGGTGTGAGGCTTAATCTCTTAAATCTTTTACAAATGTACTTATGTCCCATGCTTTACATAAATACTAAATAGTAATATCTTTGAATTCTTATAAAATCTCCCAAAACAGAAGAATTAATATATGCATAAATTTTTCATTCATTTTTTTCTTTGGTTTATTTATTTATTTATTTATTTATTATTTTTTGTTTTTATTTATTTTTAAATGTTTTTATTTATTTTTAAAGAGAGAGGGGAATGAGAGGGAGAGAGAGAAACGTTGAGGTGAGAAAGAAACATTGACCATCTGCCTACTGCATGCCCTCTAATGAGAATCAAGCCCCAAACCTGGGCATGTGCCCTGACCAGGAATCAAACCAGCAATCTTTCAGTGCTCAGGATGATGTTCAACCAAATAAGCCACAGTGTTCAGGGCTATTTTTTTTAAATTACACTTGACATTCAATATTATATTAGTTTAGGTGTACAAGCATAGTGGTTAGACATTTATATAACTTACTAAGTAATCCCCCTATAAATCTAGTATCCACTTGACACCATACATAATTATTATAATATTATTGACTATGTTCCCTGTGCTGTACTTTACATCCTGTCACTATTTTGTAACTACCAATTTGTACTGTTTAATCTCTTTACCTTTTTCACCCCGCCTATCTGACAACCATAAGTTTGTTCTCTGTATCTATAAATCTGTTTCTGTTTTGTTTGTTCATGTGGTTTTTAGATTCTAAAAGTGAAATCATATGGTACTTTTCTTCCTCTGTCTGACTTATTTCAGTTAGCACAATAACCTCTAGGATCAGGCATGTTATCACAGATGGACAGATTTTATTCTTTTTTTATGGCTAAGTAATATTCCATTGCATATATGTACAAATCTTCTTTATTCAGGTTGCTTTCATAGCTTGGCTATTATAAATAACTAGAGGCCTGGTGCACAAAATTCATGCATGGGGGGTGTGTGTCCCTCAGCCCAGCCTGCACCCTCTCCAATCTGGGATCCCTCGAGGGATGTCCGACTGCCCATTTAGACCGGGATCAGGCCTAAACAGGCAGCTGGACATCCCTCTCACAATCCAGGACTGCTGGCTCCCAACAGCTCACCTGCCTGCCTGCCTGATTGCCCCTAACTTCTTCTGCCTGCCAGCCCAATTGCCCCCAACTGCCCTCCCCTGCAGGCCTGGTCTCTCCCAACAGCCCTCCCCTGCAGGCCTGGTACCCCCCAACAGCCCTCCCCTGCTGGCCATCTTGTGGCGGCCATCTTGTGTCCACATGGGGCGGCTATCTTGTGTGTTGGAGTGATGGTCAATTTGCATATCACCTCTTTATTAGATAGGATGCTGCAATGAACATAGGGATGCATATATTTTTTAAATTAATGTTTTGGATTTTTTTGAAAAAATACTCAGAAGTGGAATTGCTGGGTCGAAAGGTAGTTTAATTTTTAATGTTTGAGGAATTTCCATACCATTTTCCATAATGGCTACACCAATTTGAAATCCCACCAATAGTGAATGATGGTTCCCTTTTCTTCACATCCTTGCCAACAATTGCTGTTTGTTGATGATAGACATTCTGGTAGGTGTGAGGTGATATCTCTATCTCAGTCGCTTCAATAAATGGTGTTGGGAAAGCTTGACAGATACATGCAAAAAATAAAATTGGACTACTTTCTTACACCATATAAAAAATAAAGTGGATTAAAGGCAAACATAAGACTCAAAACCATAATGCTCCTAGAAGAAAACATAGGCAGTAAATCCTCTGACACTGCTCTTAGTAACATTTTTTTTTCTTATACATGTCCTTGGGCAAGGGAAACAAAAGAAAAAAATAAACAAGTGGAACTACATCAAACTATAATGTTTTTACACAGCAAAGGAAACCAACAAAATGAAAAGACAACCTACGGAATGGAAGAAGATATTCACCAATGATACATTCAATAAGAGGTTAATATCCAACATTTATAAAGAACTCATACAACTTAATACCAGCTCCTCCTCACTAACAATCCAATTAAAAGTGGGAACAGAATCTGAATAGACACTTCTCCAAAGAGGACATACAGATGGCCAATAGACATATGAAAAATGCTCAACATCACTAATCCAAAAAATGGAAATTAAAACCACAATGAGATATCAGTTTACACCTGTCTTTGGTTTATTTTTGGTAATAACCCATATTATAAATATTTCAGAAGAATCTCTTCAACCAACTGACAATGAACCAATAAGTTTTTATTCCTTATTCTGCTTAGCAGATTTTCCACAGTTCATAAAATTTAGATTCTCCTTTCAGCTTACAGGACAAGTCTAAGGAGGCTTCTTCTCTTTAGTAGGGCAAGTACTTTCATTTATATTTGTCTTTACTTGGTAAAGACATGGAATCCAGGAGGGTCTCTGTGCTTCAACCTAGAACATACTCTTTGATAGAAAATGGAATTTGATGTGAGATAGGTACATCTTAGGCTTCAAGGACTAAAGTCTCTCAGCTGAAGGACTAAAGGACATCATGATAGGATGGCACCTCAGTATGGACAAGTTTAGGGCCAGACTCCAGAATAATTATCAGGTTGAAAAGGATGCTGACGATTTCTTATGAATGTGAATGTGTGCATGTATGTGTGTGATTGTACATACATATTAGGTCACATATTAATTACTTATTACTAACAAATTACCCCAAATGTAACAACTTAAGCCATCAAACACTATATCAGTTTCTGTGGGCCAGGAATCCAGGTGCTTAGCTAGATGGTTCTAGCTCAGGTTCTGACATGAGTTAAGAGCCAAGCTGCCAGCAGGGCTGCAGTCATCTAAAGGCTCACCTGAGGGAGAGCCCACTTGGTGTGGCTGTGAGCCGGCCTCCATGCTTGTTGCCTCCTGACTGGGATCTCAGTTCTTTGCCCTATAGATGTTTCCAAAGATCGCCCGAGTATCCCCATGATGGGCAACTTCTTCCTTCAGAGCAAGTGATTCAAGAGAGAGAGAAGACACCCAAGGCTTTTACCATCACTTCAGCCATATCCTCTTGGCTACATAGACTAACTATGGCAGAGTGTGGGAGAAGGCTTGATACAGAGGGGCTCCTTGGTGGCTGCCTTGGAGGCTGCCAACCACAGGCGAGCTTCTACAACAGAACTGGGAGTTTTGATCATTTTACCCAGTATAGAAACAGATGTTTCTCTATTTCATTAGCTTTAAATAGCAATCTTCTATCCAGCAACATGGCCTTAAAAATTTTACCTAGGTGCCTCCCAGGCGGCCCTCTACAATAAGGTTTTATTATTTTGGGGTAAAAGTCAATTGCTTCCATACAACACTTCACTCTGAGAAGAGCAACGTTTATGGGTTACAGAAACAACTGTATAAGGGTCTTCATGATACCAGCACCTGTTGACAGAATATGGCAGCAGCTATTACTGATACTCATTTTAAAAACAAGAATAGTTAATAGAGAATGAGTGGTGTGTGTGAATTTTGTGTAAGTGGGAGGGAGGAAACTTACATTCACCCTGAGTCACTTTTTAAAAATATATATATTATTATTGATTTCAGAGAGGAAGGGAGAGGGAGAGATAGAACCATCAATGATGAGAGAAAATCAGGGATTGGCTGCCTCCTGCACACCCCTATTGGCGATCAAGCCTGCAACCCTGGCATGTGCCCTTGACTGGAATCGAACTGGGACCCCTCAGTCCGCAGGCCAATGCTCTATCCACTGAGCCAAACCAGTTAGGCCACCATGTGTCACTTTAGGTGGAATTCTCACAGCAACCTTGCCAGTGCTTTATACCATGATTACCTCCATTGTAGAGCTGAGCATGGGGAGGCTGAGTAACGTGCCCAATGTCATAAAGTTAGTAAGAAGCAAAGCTGAGAATCAGCTCGGGCCTTGAGGATCTAATTTCCCACTGATGCTGCTGTCTCTCCCAAGAGATCTGCGTGACTCGCCTGCAGGCCGCAGCACTACAGGGGGTTGGCAGCCACCCTTTCGGGGATATCTCAGTGACTTGCTATTGGGTCTTTACAATATGAGATCTACACTTTTGAAGCATGGATTGGTACTTCACATCTATTGCAGAATAAGCTGACTTTCAGCTTCCAGGTAGTTCACTAAAATGGGCCATCTGTTCTCTGAATTTTCATGACTGAGTTTTGGTGCTCAGACATTGGGCTTGGACCTTTTGGCTATTGTTCTTTTTGTTTGTTTTTTTGTTGTGTGTGTGTGTGTGTGTGTGTGTGTTTTGTAGCAAAAAAAGTTTCTTGTGAGTTGAAACGTGGAGGACTGTGACGCCAGTGCCTTTTCCATGTGGCCATTCCGCATGCTTCTGAAGGTGCCTGGCATCCCGTCTTTGGAGGCCTCCCTGAGGCCCCCTCCTGCGGGATGCACTGCTTAAAAGAAAATATGATAGTCAGTTGTTTGAGCTGTGAAGTGAGAAAAATTGGATGGCCTTCACTATATTAGCATCCATCATAGACACATCAGGGGGTCAGTGTGAGGAACTCTTCGGGGATTCCTTGTTTTACTTTCTTTTTTTCTCCCCCTGCTTCAGGATTACTCAGGTCAGTGGAGTTGTAATTTTGTGGACTTTTTTGGATACAATGAGAGATGGCAAAAGGGTCATTTATTGTAATTAGACTTCTGTTGCATAATTCCTAATCAATTTTCCTTAATATTTATACATGACATAATGTTGGGCTCTTAGTATCTTTTTATATC